ATTTGGGGTGAAGGCTTTAAGAAATGAATTTTGGAAAGACACAAGCATTTAGTCCACAGTGCAAAGAATGTTATGTCACTAACTAAAGGGTATGAGAACACAGTTTTTTTCCCAGAATAGGGGAGAATAAACCCCCTAGCAAATGTATGCTGCCTTTGCTCAATGTGTCACAAAATCTTTTATGAAGCTTTTCATTACTTCCTACTGCCTCAGTCCTAGGCAACATGCAGAAAGAGAATGCCATTCTATCATAAGTTTTATTCTCCTCAATCTTCCTAGACTCTGCTTGCACACTCAGTTCTCTCTTTACCATCAGTCATATGACATAAACTCTACCCATCAAGGAGATAGAAAAGACACTAGTAGCTTGCTGATGTTAGTTAAACATAAACTTCCTGTTTTACATGACATAAACTATATTTTTAAAAATGCTATGTAATTTATGGCTTTCATTGAAAAGTTATATCCTGGTATATAGAGCCATGTTCTCACTATGTTGCCCAGGTTGGTCTCAAATTCTTGGCCTCAAGCAATCCTCCCACCTGGGCCTCCCAAAGTGCCAGGGCTTCAGTTATGAGCCACAGTACCTGGCCTACTTAGTCTAAATCAATGAGTTTTACTATGTGATGAGTTAAAACAATCACGGAGCCTTTTCATGTTTTCAGAATGATAAATACAAATTATCTGCTGTCCTGACATGGTACTTTGAGTTTCCATACAGAAGCCACATAAAATTAAATCATGATACACAGCAGAAGAAGCTGTACACATTTCACTGAAGTAGTTCGGGGAAAAGGGTAGTTAGTCATGAAACCAGGGTTTGAGAGGTGAGGGTAGAATTTTTTGTAGGAAAAGCAGAAAAAAGATTAGGGTAGAGAAAACCAAAAATAATCTTATAGAAATGGAGTGAAGGAGGTCTTGATTCCCAGAAGAGGTTATATTCTGGGTGATAGCCAAGAAAAATCATGAAGTGCAGCGTAGTGAATTTGTCTGACTCCTCTGGAGTATGTCAAACAATCTAGATATTCAATTTAGCTTCATTCTGAAATAGGAACTAATGGTGGTAGTCTGTAAAGGGAATGCTCTGTAGCGATGGGGAAATACAAGAATGTGACCATGGGGGTACGTGCCAGAGCATGGTATAACAGTTAGAGCCAAGTAAATAAGCCCTGTGATCTGCGGCATGGGTAGCAGCTATAGTTGGGGGTGGGGGAGCGGATGATTTGAGAACGGCTTTTGCAAGCTCTTCTCTGTCGTCTCACACGTACAGATCATCTTCTCCTATGATTTACTACTACAAATGGCTAATTTCATCAATTATGTGTCAATGCTTATTATTTCCAGTGTCAGAGGACATCCTTTCATAGTCGCCCTATGTATTAATATTTGAGCATCAGGTTGCTTTAAAGCAGAGATAAATTTAATGGTCCTCCCCTAAGTTTCTCTTTGTCATTATTGCTTATTTGCTAACACTTTAGGGTTTTAATTCTTTTTCTGTTCTTTTAAATTCATTGCTTGATGGAAACAATTGGGAGATTTGAATATTTTTCAACAGTGAGGGTCTTTATTAGCTTTTAAGTAGATAAAAATATCCTTTCTTCCCTATAGTGCAAAGTGGAATGGGCTATTACTACCATCTCAGTAAATTAAATTACTTAAAAAAAAATAAAAGAAATAGATTGTGTCAATGTTTAGCCAAAGGAGTTCTCCAGCTGACTGAACATTTATGGGCAGTTTGCCATCAACACAAGGTAAATTCACCTACAAGTAGCTATTTAGAAAACATGTGTATAATGATGGCTGTTAAACTTACCCAACTGAATTACACCTAACTTCAGACAAAAGAATGGAATATATGCATAACCAAACTGATGATAACTAAAAGGATGGCAGTTTAATTACCAACAGGAATATAAATAGGGCCAAGTGAAGATGCTCAAATTGGTGATACAGAATAATTATTAGTAATGAACTTAAGAGAATGGAAAGTTTAGTTGGAGGCTCAAAAATACACAGGTGTACACTGCATTTGGTGGTTTCTGATTGGGAAGCAGTTTGCTTTGTTTTGAGTCAAGTGATCTCCAGGCAGGCATAGGGAATTAGTTAAATCATACTGTGTACTCCCTGCTGGGCCTACATCTTTAGGCAAAAGTAACCTAAATTTAACATTAAGTGGTGTTGTCAACGCAGCTTACACATTTGAATCACCACGGATGCTTTTTAAACATAGTGTGATCTGGGCCATACCCTAGAAATTTTGATCTAATTGATCTTGGATAGAGACCAGATATTAAGTATTTTTTAAATCACTACAGATTTGTCAAAGTTGCAGCCAGGACCAAGAACTACTGTTCTAAAGGCACTTTGCAGCTCAAATCGCTGCTCTTGGCTTCTGAATCAGGGGTGGCTAAGGTCGATTGTTTTGTTTTTCAGCAGCAGAGAAACAGCCAAATTCATGACCTGTCCTTACACATCCCAGGCCCATGATTAGTCTTCACTGCTTATTAGAAGGTAGGGATGATTTTTTTTTTTTTTTTTTTTTTTTTTTTTTTTTNTTTTTTCAAAAAGCTAAGTCAGTGTTGGGCTGGCTGGTGAGGATAATGGCTAAAGTGATCGAGGGGTTTCCTTTCTACACACGGGCAATTTGTGTGTGAGTTAGATAAACCGAGATTGGACTACAAGTAGCTTTTCGATACGTACCACCTGGGTTGTAGGCTGCTTGTACGTATGTGGCCAGTGACCAGGACAGCAGCAGCACAGGTGCTGTCTGTTTATGGAAGCTACACGCACCAGTCTGTCTCTTGCTGACTTCATGAGCACCCATTCTTTGGCTCAGGAACCACCTGATAGTCATCCCCTTCCTCTTCTTTCTTTCCCTGTCACTTTTGACACATCTCCAGTATAGCATTTCACCACAAATGAAGTTACATTACAAAAATCCACTTACATTTCTATTTCATATTAGGCTACAGGTTCCTTAAGGTTCTGGACAGCTTTAGTCATTCTAATATCTTTAGCTTTCATCACAATGCCAGGCATGCCAATATTTGTAGACTGAAAATGGCCTGTGATTCTAGATCCCCTGTTTTAATTTGAAAGTACGAATGGGTGGGAGATGGTAGAGAAAGGAAAAGGAAAGGGAGACGCTCACAGCTATAGAGGTAAACTTCTTCCAAATACAACCCAATTCACTAATAAATATCTCTCAAATTCATACATTCTTATATCACATATTTATTGAAGCCATTCTACACACAGCAGCAAACTAGTCATAAAAGTTCTCTGACATTATGGAGCTCATATTGGCATAAACTGTTAGTAAAGGAGAAATATAAGCATCATTGAGAATATTTAACATATTTTTAATGCAATGAAGAAAAATAAGAAATTGAAACAGGAAATGGTTTACACATGTGAATCAGGGTGGATGGCATTTTAAACAGGTGGTTAGAGAAGGCCCCTGTAGAAACAGGATACTGACTCTGAAACTCAAGCCCATTGCAAAAAAAAGGGGGGAGGGGAAGAAGGAGATCCCAGGCAAAGAGAATAGTAAGTACAAAAGTCCAGGTATAGGAGGAAAACACTTGGTGAAATTGAGGAATAAAATAAAGGCTTGTTTTTAACTTCTACACACACACATACATAAAATAGGTGGAAAAAAAAAACAAACCCAGTTTATGATTAGATAACTTGTGAACCTGACCTCTTTTACAAAATCACCAGTTCTCCCAGGCCTTGAGTTATAAGCCATCATATACCCAGGGGCAGGTTTGCTGGCTTAAGATTGTCCCTGTAAGATCATCTCTAAAAGGTCAGTGGGCTTTTATCCTACCAGAGTATGTTTGATCTAAATGACCTGAATGGCGACTTTAGCACTCCCTCCTGAAGGCTGAAGTCTGACTTCCAAGTACCAAGGTTACGTGAGTCCAGCTCATTGTCTGGGATGCACTGAGAGCTTTATTCCTGAGAAGACCTGGATCTTCACAGCGAAATCTGCAATGCCCGCCAGCTGGGAGTGCTTTTCTACCTTGGCTTTACTGATCTGTATTATGCAGTCTAAACCACAGGGAAGTGGAATTAGGTTTGTCTCATTCTGTCAGTTCTTAATAAGCTCTTGAGTACAGCACCCTTATTATATTCTTCTTTATATACCCAGCTCCTAGCACAAGGCCTAACTCAAAGAAAACTGGCCCAAAACCTAAATGCTTTTAGTTTTTTTAATGGTAAGAAACAAAAAAATCAAATGAAAATAAATATTTTTTAACATATGAACATTAAATGAAATCCCAAGTCAGTGTTCCTAAAGTTTTATGGAAACAGCCATGTTCATTCATTTACGTTTTGTCCAAGCCTATTCTCCCATGATAAAGGCAGAATTAAGTGGTTTTTACAGAGTTCTGTACTTATGATAGAGACTGTATGCATTGCAAATCTGAAATGTTTACTATTGACCCTTTAGAGAAAAAGTTTGCCAACCTCTGTGATAAATATTTACCGTGGGAATAATGAAATGAATGCATAAATAAATGAACTATTATGGCAAATTCACTTCCATATAATTACTCCTTAATAGTATACACTCTATGGCAGAGATCCAGGCATTAAAGTAGACTTTTGCAATTTATTTAAAATATGTGACCAGTGTTATTTATGAATCATTCTGCCATGCTGTTCTAAAACACATTCGATCAGAATAAAAGTTTTAATTGCGTTTTCTAAATAGGCTTCTCCTCTACATCTCAATGCCTCTTTTCATGAGGACCAGCCAGTCTTCCCAGAAATTATATTTAAACTCTATTAGAATCATGGTAATCATTTCACTTTATCAAGCATGTTTATGTCCTCTGCAGTTTTCTTCCTTCTGTGTCTGTTTGTAAGTTCTAAACTCTTGCCATGGGATATGCAATTCTGCTTTACAGAGATACATGACTAAAAGAAACTCAATCACCTCCATTACATGTGAATTTCATTTCATTTTTACATTTGTTAACTAATTTCCTAGGTTTTACTGAATGCCAACTACACGGTCAGATTGGAGGCATTGGGAGGGTCACGAAGTGAGTATATCTTCAAAATCTTCAAAAGGCAAACAAATCAGTTGCATTCTTCTTAAGCAAGATGCATGTTGTTAGGTAAAACAAGGTAAGGGCACTAGAAAGGGTTTAATACAGATCCAAATAGAAGACTACACAAATTCATATGGAAACTAAAATAGGCTACTCTGAATATTGGAGAAGCTGCAAGTGAACTTGGATGGAAAACTCTCTAATGCTGATTATACCTTCTTAGTACTGGTATTCCTGCTTTCATTTCCTTTTTCAAATTGCTGAGAAGGGATTAAAACAAACATGTCTTTGAGTTGACTCTGTTGTATAGGCTGATAGGATTTGTTTCTGTTTGTTTACTTTTGTATGGTTTTAATTTTCCTGGAGGGAATTTGGGGCCAAGTAATAATCACTGTTTTCCATTTTAGGAGAAACTTGTCTTCTGTATATCACTAAAACTTCGACAATTATTATTATTTTTTTTTTGCAGGGAAGAAAGTTATGTGATTGGAAATTCTATCATCTGTATTTTTTGTTAAGTACTTTGGAGGCAAATTCATGTAAATTCACTTAAATAGGGTGTTTGCTTACAATGCACTGTTGGGGAGACTTTTTCTAAATTAGAGGCCAAGCTGCAGAAGAAAAACCTTTAGAAATTAATACCAGCTAATTAATCCAGCTCATTAGCCTAAAACCTCACTGAATGCTGAGAGTGCTGCTAATGTAATAAGCTTCCCAGTTAATGGAGTCAAAGCTAACTTCAAAGATGGCTAGTACCTCATTCGTTAACTTAATCAACTCTCTGGGCACCTCATAGGCAACAAATTCTGGTAGAAGAGCAATAAAGATGCAGTGGATGTTCAGTTCTGTTATCCCCTTACTGGCTTAAAAGTTAAAATTTGGATAACTGTTGAGTGCACATATAGTACACATTCCCACCTCTAAATAGCAATAGGACAAGACAAACAAATGCTATAGAGAAATATTTGTCAAAATGAAAGTTTAAAATTGTCCGAAGAGTCCAACCAGTATAAAAAGCCAACATCTAGTATGTTGAGTATTGTGCATTTTACATGCTCCATCTACTATACGCATTTTAGCCCATAAGAAAAGAAATGGAAATGAGGCATCAATTTGCACTATTATCTTCTTGTTTTCCTTTTAAGATTTTCTAAAATAAAAAAATGAAAACATTTTACAACGTTAATTGGAAGGTAAATTGGAGTTAGTAATTAAAGATCAGGACTCAAATTTCCATCTTAGTACAGAGCAGTTAACATGTTTTTTTATACTTAAGTTCTGGGGTACATGTGCAGGTTATGCAGGATTGTTACATAGATATATACATGCCATGGTGGTTTGCTGCATCCACTCCCCTGTCACCTACATTAGGTGTTTCTCCTAATGTTATCCCTCCCCAATCCCCTCAGCCCCTGCTATCCCTCCCCTAGTCCCGCCAACCCCCAACAGGCCCTAGTGTGTGATGTTTCCCTCCCTGTGTCCATGTGTTCTCATTGTTCAACACCCACTTATGAGTGAGAATATGCAGTGTTTGGTTTTCCAAAACGATTAACTTTTGAGCTCAAGGTACTTTCTCAAAATAGTGTTGTAAAATAAGTTTTCTAGTCATCAGAATAATCAATTTTTGGTTGTCTTGGAGCTCTTTTATCCTTGCAAAACTTCCTTCCCATGACCAGAACTGTTAAGTTGATTCAACTTACTCTGTATAAATATTGGACATTGTAAGTATAGTAAAATGTTTCAGGGATATAGACTACTAAGATAAAATAATCAAGACCTTTTCATATATTTTATGACCCCATAATACAGAACCTCTTGGTAATAGAAGCTGCTCTGTTTGTTTTACTGTATAACAAACCACACCCAAACTGATTGGTCTACAACAGACAATGTACATTTGAGTCTGTTGGTGTTGGCAATATGAGCTAGGCTTAGCTGAGCAATTCTGCTTATCCAGGACCTTTTGTGGACTTTGCTGTGGTGCACATGTGCTTGTGATGAACTCCTATGAGTTCTAGGGGAGGCTGGCTGGTCTAAGATGCCATAATCACCCCACATAGCTTCCATCCTCTGGCAAAATAGCCCAAGCATGTTCACAGGGTAATGGCTAGATAGGTTAGGTTCCTAGAACTCACACAATGTCACTGTCACTGTGTTCTATTGGCCAAGAGAAATTATAGGCCCAGGCTGTATTCTAGGTAAAGGAAAGTAGACACCACACCTTTTTGTGAGGGGACCTAGAAATAACTATAGCCACAATGTAATCTACCATGAGTGGAATATGTAAAACTTGGGAGCTGTCACAGTTACGTGTCTGTCAGGTGTAGGAAGCCATTTTGCAGCCTGAAACTATCAGACCTGTTTGATTGACAGAACCCTGATGACGTTTGTGTTCCTAGGTTCAGTTGTTCCTAATACTCAGTGGTATCTTTGTTCGTCCTTCAGTTTAGCCATTATGTCCTTTCCTGTATTCTATGAGCCAATTAAATTTCCCTTTTGTCTAAGTTAAATGAGTTGAGGCTCTATTTGATTAATCAAAGTTCCTGACAAAAATCGTGACCCAAACTTATTTACATGTACTTTTCCTTGCACATTCTTATCACATACTAATATAGCCAGAATATCTAATGGCTAAGATATATTCATTTAGTTATTGACCTTCATTTTAAAATTAATTTTACTTTCAATAAGCAAAGTGTCTATCTTCATTAAGCAATTCAATTGCATTGAATTCTTCATCTGGATTTATATGCTGGTGCTTTGTAAATGGCCTAAGTAGTTAGACACTATCCTTTAATTCTGAAAATTAGAGACCAAATGTCATTTAGAAAATTGAAAATCAACTTTTTATGACTTCAATTGAAAGAACTCATGCTGAAATGTGAACAATGTTCATGAAAAGTTAATAAATAAGACTAATGATAGTTCATGGTAATTTTAGAATGATCCGACCCTTAAATGACTTACAACTAATGCTAATACCTTTGAGAAAAGAGGGTCACAATATTGGAATTTCATGCTTATAACAAAACTGAACTTCAAAAGCCTTTCGTGATCACATATATCAAGAGTCCATTTCACATTGTTCTCTCATCTACTGTACAAACACATTCAGTTCTCATTTTAAATATAATTATGATAGATGTAGAATTATGAGATCCAAATCCATTTCCAGATTGTGAAACTCCACAAAGTCCTCTATAATTTTACCTTTCCTCCCAACAGTGAAAAATATGCTCTCTCCCTGACTTCTCTTTTGGAATCACTAACATTATGAACCCCAATAGTTGAAAAAAATTGTCATTTTTTACTTTTCAGTGTATTTGAAGAAAAACATCCTCTGACCAAATGATAAATGATGTTTTTAGAAAACCAGAACATACACAAAAGTTTCTAAGCTTCTTAGCACAGAAAATAGGACTGAAGGGCTTGTTAATGAGTCAATCTGTGACCCATCCTGTGTGTGCATCTCTCTAATGGAAACTGTAAGACAAAAGACATATCACCGTTCAAGAAAGACACTGTCAGTGTTGAGTAAAACTCCAGTGTGACTATGTCCCTTCAATGTATTCCTTCTTTTTTCAGTATCAGGGAGGAATATTTTTAGGGTTCTCTGAAATTTATACAGGTCAGAGAACCCTGAGAGTATTCACTATTATCCCTTTTCAGAGGAGTTACCTGAAGCTCAAGAGGATTGAAGTGACTTATAATTAGTCATAATGGTTCCTCCTCTTCATAACCTATTTATTTGAGATTTAGTTATAAAATATCACTGTATGAAAGAAAAATATAATGTGATTTAAGTGAAAGTGCTCATATACTTCAGAGTGGCAAATGGCAGAATTTAGGAATAGTAGAATATATTTCTCTAAGTGATTTTTAACTCCTATGCTCCACACCCATTATCTGTAAATAAAGTGTAGCTTCCAGTGCAGTCAATGAGCAGTCAAGTGTGCTAACGAGGACATCTTTAAATAGTGTTTTTCTGCTGTGCTATAAAGTAGAGCTGATCAGAGAGCTGATGGAACACAGAACCGTTTGGAGAGGCTCTGAGAACACATTTACAAAAATACCAAATCTGAATTAAGCAAAACTTAAGAATACTTTGTTTTTTCTGCTGGAAAGGAAACAATAACACACACAGGGGCCCAGGTGGTTAATGTACTGTACACTATTACTACAACATATAAGACCTCAGTCTCTAAGTTCCTCAGAAACCAGGAATTCAGTTGATTACATAGTGCCCTATGGAATAGACTTTAAGAGTAAAAGAGCAAACATTTCAGATATTCTTTCAAAGCTTGCCAATTTACTTGGTTCTTGAATTCTTGCTATTGGTCTGTTGTGCAGGAGAGAACTTTACAATGGTTTTTACCCTGCAAGAGGCTTTAAGCCTGTCTCAGTTACAATAGAGAAAATGATATGAGCCCCCTTTTTTTTAGTGGTATAAAAAAATAAACTACCACTATAATAGTTAAACAAATGTTCTGAGTTTGGGAATGGTATAATATATAAACCTAAAGCTTTGCAGTTAATGCATGTCCCTTGACATTTAAGTTAACTTAATTTGAAGAGAAATGCTATGATTTCTTAGCTACAAAATTGTTCTCTCCCACTACAGGTAAATTTGAAAGGCTTTAAGTAAACATTGCAAATTCAATAAGGTTCACTTATGAGCTACTTATTTTCATCTGTAAAGTCACCTGGTTGTGCAAAAATATCCCTCAGGCCCTGACTTCCTCTCACATTCACTGTTGTATACACGTCTGTGAATTCAAGTAGCTCCTCTTCGTGACGACCATTGACAGTGCTATAAGACTGTAAACAGAGCCACAACTCATATTTAATGTTCATTTTGGTATCTTTTAGTAATTTGGCTAATTTGCAGAAAATTAGTCATTTCTTTAAGTGAAAGTGTAGAACTAATGTTTTATACTCAGTGAATTTTTCCATTTGAAAATAATTTGCTAAATTTTTATGTGATTTTCAAGTTATGTTACTTCACCCTTTAACAAGACAGTACAAATGGGCTGTATTACCCTTAGGAAGTCCTTTTTCAAAACGTTCTCCCTGCTGAAATGTCAGCACAAAGTTTCTTCTTACATTTCTATGCTTTCTTGGAGTTTTAGTGACCCATGACACCAATCACACATATCTCCAGGAATCTGACACACTGAAAAATCCTATGAGGTTTCCTAAAATAGAACCCACTGATCAACATTTTACGTGTGAACCGGTACTTATTGAAAGAGGTCTCACTGATTAAGAAATAATAAAAGCAAAACAAAATGAAACAATAGATTTGGGGTGAGGTAGAGTAGACCTAACTTTTATTTGTATTTAGTGATTTGGGCACATCACCTTACAGTCTGCTCATAGCTCTCTCTGTCAGCACAGCAATTAAGGTCCAATTTTTAAAATGTCTCTTTATCATCAATCATAACTCTGACCTAGTATTCATTTTTTGCAACTCTTTAAAATAATAGAATGGTATATTTAAGATTTTATCAATAGCTTGTTTGATGAGAAATACTCTTGTTACTATTTCGTAAAAGACTTCCTGAAAATAGTTTTTACCTTCCTTTAGAAGTAAAGCAACAACAAAACAGAAACAAAGCATTACCTATTGACTTAATTATCCAACTTACTGTGAAAAACAGTGAATTATATGAGTTAATAGAGAAGGAATAGTAAAAACGGAATGAGACTTTATCTAGGCTATTGCCAATCACTGTAAATAAATTGTAATCTAAATATGTGCTTTGACCAAGTATTTTTCAAAAACATCTTTTACTATTCCTAATTTTCAAAATTTACAGTGTGACTCAGGATACACATTGATATGCACACACATAAATTTAAAACAAAACTCTCATGAAACAACTTATCCTTACTCTATACTCTGTTACTTTCTATTCGAGCTAATTTAATTTTTTAATGCTTATTTGGATTCACTAAATTGATTTCATAACCTACTAATGAGTTGTAATTGTCCATAGAAAACATTGCTTTAATCTAAATCTTAAAAACTGTGAGGAGGTGACTTGCATCTTAATAAGCATACAGGTGTTAAAAACATAATTATCATACAAATAGACAGTGAATTTGTGTCAAAGTCGTGTTAATCATGTTAGTAAAAATGCCAGCAAGGAAATACTAGAGATAGTTTTAAAAGCATTTGAGGAACTTGAATAGTAAACAGAGGAATGACTTCTAAAAATGTTTGCTGAATTATATTTAAGGCTGGTTAACTCCCTACAATATAGGGAGCCATAAGACCTTTGGTGCTTAATTTTCTAGTAAATTATAAAATCAAAACAATCGTATCTGCACTTTTAGACACAGAAGAATTCAAACATAGTTCATTGGAAGACTGACAAAATATCTGTTATTTTAAGAAAGAAATTTTGGTAAGAATGCTAACTCGACATAGAATTCTTAACTGATACAAGTTATTTTAAGAAAGAATTTTTAGAAAGGATGCTAACTGCATATAGGGTTGTGAACTAAGTTTATGCAAAGGCTAAGATATTGCCGTGGTATCACAGAAACAGCAATGTTAGGAAGTAGCTACCACCCTTAGCCTCTTGCAGGGCTGAGGGAACAAAAGGAAGATCATTAAGACTTATAAGCTTGGAGGAGAGGCTTTGTGGTGGTGACCTCAAACCTCTCTGATGCTAGTGCTGGTATCTCTGAGGAGGGGTTGATGAGATCAAACGTTTTGAATATATGGCAAATGTTGGAAATACTGCAAATAGGCAGCACCTGCTGCTATGGGAATAAACTGATATAGTCAGAAAGAAGAATGCCAGTAGGGTAAATCCTGGAGCAGGAAGAAACAGAGGAAACCAACAATGGGCGCAATTCCACTCTCCCTGCTAAGCTTTACCATCTCCCTCCACTGGCAAAGCCTAACATAAAACCACAAACAAAGCAGATACGTGGTTTGCAAAGTCCCAACCTCAGCATTCTAAAAGCAACCACAGAAGGGAAGTCAAAGCTGAGAGTCAATAGTTTAAAACCTGCCACATCTTCTAACCTGAGAGGGCAGTGGGGCCTTTGCACATTTATCATTGTGGATTGTTTATCAAGAGTGTCAAATTGTATCTAGCAAGTATGAGAAATATTCTAGCATGAGAGCAAGAAGTAAACAAACATCATTTGCCTTTTTCTAAATTTGGAATACATTTTATCAGAAATTTGTGGTTTAATAAAATGCTCCACCAAAATTCAAAATTATTATAACTGACATTTTCTGCTTTTTAAATTAATGGAATTTCTACAGACCATTGTTCAGATTTATTATGCTAACATTAGACACACATTTGGCCTGCTGACTTGAAAATCAATAATATTACATATTATGAACATAAAGATGTGCCTTCTCCCATGATTCTAGAGTTCTTTGGTCCAGTATTGATATGGGATAAAGTATTAGAAATAATCTATGGGAAATTGTGATTGTTTTTTGAAACTAAATAAAAGTTGTGTATGATGATAGTAAAGATTTCAATTGTATATAGATCTCAAATAAGAAGTTACGTATATGCTTATATATATCAATAAAAATAAAAATAGATCATACTATATATTCTTTCTCACCTGAATTTTTTTCTATTTAATACTGTATCTTGCCATATTACAACAGAGATCTTCCCCTATATTTTTAAGGTCTGTATTCAAAGGTAGGATCTACATAATTAATTTTAAAATTCCTGGGGCATTTAAGTTGTTTCTAACTTTCTGTTATTGCAATGGCTAGCTAGCTAGCTAGGGCAATGAAAACTTGACATATATTATTTTATGTACAAAGTATATACATATAATATGCTGACAAAACAATATTGAGTTATATAGTAATCATTATTTTGTTAATGTTTATTTGTGGTTGAATTTGTAGTTGACTTGAAACAGCATGAAAGAGAACAAAAATAGAATCTGATGAGTGCTGTCCAATCTTTCCAAAGCAATTTTATAATCAACCAATCTTTCTGTTTCTCATATCCAGATGCCACACCATGTGAAGCCCTTGCCATATTACAGCTATGACCAGCCTGTGATTGGGTACTGCCAGGCCCACCAGCCTCTCCATGTCACCAAGGGCTATGAGACAGTGTCTCTGGAGCAAGATGAAAGCACCGGCCTGGAGCTAGGGCAAGACCACAGCTTCATCGCCACCATCGCCAGGTCGGCAGCACCGGCCATTTACCTTGAGAGAATTGCAAACTAACGCTGAAGCCAACTCCTCATTGGGGAACTCCACGGGGGGAGGGAGGGCCTTCATCTTAAAGGAGAGTGGGTGTCTGAAATCGTGCAATCAAGCAAGCTCATCGTTCCTGTTAAAACATTTATGGCATAGAGAAAAGGAAAAGATAAAACCAAACTGCTTAAAAAGGGTAGCGAATGCACCTGCAGCATAACTGGGAGAACTGCAGAACTTTCTTTGCTTTAAAACGTAAACGAACAAAAATGCTCCCGGATGTAAATAGTAAGAGTGTCAAGTTCTTATAAAAATAGATTTCACCCTAGCTACATATAGGTTTGTTTGTGTATTTGATTTTTCCACACTGCATGGTTCCTGAGCTGGAGAACCACAGGAGGGCAAATAAACAGGGGTGGGTGGGAAGTTGGGGAAACAGCAGGTTTCCTCTTTTGGTATTTGTAACTCTCACAGACTTTATTTAAATTGTTTTTATTTTCTTTTAAAATGCTGTTTGTTCTTGTTTTGTTTGTTTTAAGTTGTTTTTTTTTTTTTCCTGGTCAAGTTTCTAATACAAAACATAAGCATTAAAGCTTATGTTGTATCAAAAGAAAATGTGTTTTACCACGGACCACAGATAAAGTTGACCACAAAGTTCCATAAAACTACTGGAAAGAAAACTCAGTAAGTCTGGGTGAATGACTCTTCATGACAAATGCCATATGTGGCACATGATAGAAGGAGTTTTGTTTTGTCCAGTTGGCAGCCTTCACTGTGTAGGATGTCTGAGAGAGCCTTGAAGATCTCCGAATGACAAGATCAGCAGAATCATTCTCATGTGGACTAAGGCTATAAAAGAGCCATGGCCATGTGCTCAATGAATGAAACTGCCAAGCTGACAAATTTCTAAACACAAGATAATGTGTAACCTTGCTTTTTAAATTAATTATCAATTAGATTTTGTGTAGTTTTTATCAATAAAAGAAAAAATGTTGAAAAACAAATATATTATTTTGTGGTTGGTGTACCACAGCCCACCTAAGGCAGAGTGCTTTATCTGTATACCTATGATGGAATGCTTCCAGTCTATATCACGGCACTTCGATAAGAATCAAGTGGTATCTATCAAGTGCTTTCTGTGTGTTCCATGGTCAGATAGGAAGGCAGATATGAAGTGTAGAAAATGTGGTTTATGATGGTTTGGCTATGTCCCCACCCAAATCTCATCTGAAATTATAATTCTTCTAATCCCCACGTGTTGTGGGAGGGACCCAGCGGGAGTTAACTTAATCATGGGGTGGTTACCTCTGTGCTATTCTCGTGATAGTGTGATAGTGAGTAAGTTCTCACAAGGTCTAATGGTTTTATAAGGGCTTCCCCCTTAGCTTGGCTCTCATACTTCTCCTTGCTCCAGCCATGTGAAGAAGGACATGTTTGCTTCCTCTTCCACCATGACCGTAAGTTTCCTGAGTCCTCTGCAGCCATGCTGAACTGTGAGTTGATTAAAACTCTTTCCTTTATAAATTACACAGTCTTGGATATGTTTTTATTAGAAGCATGAAAATGCCCCAATACATTTCACAATTATTTTCAGAGATAAGTGACATTGCTCTAATAAAATTATAAAACAATATGAGAAAAAGTAAGTATCCATGGAAGGGTTAGAGGTTGTCAGATCTTATAGAAGTGAAAGAACTGTGTGAAAATTTATTATTGTCTAGAAAGATGGATTACATCTCCTATTTTTTAACAAAGGAGATCATTGCATGCACATCAGTTGAGACATTTTCTCTCAACTTCTTTAGTGTTGTAACACTATATCTTAGCAATTCTTTAACTGTGGACATTCTCCTGATGTGTTCACTGGTGTTATTTGCCTGTTTTTTTTTTTAAACTAAGTGATACTATGAAATTTATTTCACCCTTTATTTGGATAACTTTCATATTTTAAGGAATGCTCACATATAGTGGCACTGCTGAGTTGTTCCAGAACCAAGTTAATAGCTGCCATCCATTTAATTCTAAATTCTTCTGAAATAATAATAAAAGAGCCTTGTAAATACCATCACATCACAGCAAACTAGCAGAGAGTACTGAACATGTTTTGTTTTATTTTTCCCCCTCAAAGACGTTCTGTTTTACTGCCACTTTAAATAAACCTTGAAATTAAATTCTATACCAAATGATACAAATAGTATGTAGTATTAAAGAAAAATTCAATCAAGGGAAGATTTTTTTCATGTTGAAACACAGGGCTATTGCTGTTGAATTCTGGTATCTTTCTTCTTAATATTTATAACCTGGGTTACATATATTTTCTAAATCATTCAAGTAGAATGAATTTACTATGAGTTTAAAAATTAAAGAGAATTCTCTGGCATTATGATTTTACTTTTAGAAATTATTCAATAGATTTGGAGTATTTCTTCTCAAATGACAAGGATTTTTTGGTGGGTGTCTTTCCAAATTACAAGGATTTTCTTAACCCTTCTCATCTTCTCCATCTATCCAATGCCCCCTACATACCATATCCACCACACTTCCCCTTCCAGAGTTGAGTTACAAGAGGTCACACATGAAAAATCTTGATCAAATTTGGCTGATGTCAGCTCCAGTTTTAATTCTGTTTCTTATAATCAAAAAAGTCATAAATAGATAAGACCCTTCATGTTATTTAAAGCTGCCATATTTGGCCAACAGTCGCCTCAAGGTTAATAAGAAATAAGTGAACTAGTAGCAAAACAGATAGTATTATAAAAAATGATGTGTCCTATTTATATGAAAACTTTCAAAGAACTTATTTAAAATCTAATTTACATACACCAGCACAAGTTGACACTGAGTTCCAGAAATCTATGATTAAAACAAACAAACAAAAATCCAAATCAAATTTACATTAGTAGGCTTAGAAACGTCTACTAAAATTCAGGCTTGATGTTGTATGAAGGCTCAAGCATGTTTTCAGATAAAACAGAATATATATATATATATATATTATATATATATATATATATATATGTTTTTATAAAAAGACAGTGATATTTCAACAAAGGGCTTAAGAAGAAAATGTTGGATTATTGATCCCTTACACCCAAAAGTCAATTATTTTTATGCTGCAACCCTGGTGTAACCAAGGAGGATGAAAAGCTTCTGTTAGTCACAACTCAGGATAAATTATCTTCTGGACCTCTAAATGATAGGGAACAAACTTGTCTATACAGGGTACTTTTTTCCTATTTCTTGTTAATTTGCATGCTTTGCTGTGGAAACTGATTGCACCAGAGTCCTTCTCCCTTAACATGGAAGACTGTGTGTAATTGTGATTTGTGGCCCTAGCTAGTATAAAGATTTTTTTGACTCTCTTCTAGACGTCAGAAATTATGTTGATTCTACTTATTTTTTATGTTGAAATGTTAAAGAGCCCTCTCAAAGAAAGTTATGGTTTATTTCAAGACTATCCTAATTAGTAATTTGATTTTACACTATAATGTTTATTGACCTTCTGAAGGCTATGCAGGTTGTAATTTCAAAGTTGAGGAGTCTCATGGAGTATTTATAGAGCAAGGGCATTAAAACCATGCCTAAAAGCAATTGTGAATGTGACAGAATACAGATTGGAACAATCAATTATCCAAACATTCTGATTAACTTTCTTTATAAATATTCTTTGTAATGCTGAGTTTGCTTTACTTATTGCAACATGCAATTAAAAAAAAAAAAGTCTTAGAACAGGGGCTCGATTGCTATATGTTTAGGTGTAACTGTGGTTTAACTTTGCATCTTATTGTACCTCTACTCACAGATTGGCAGGCCTAACCCCAGTATGTCTGATCCAGAAGGTCTGATAAGGGATCTGAGAATATCTTTCTAAGTTCCCAGGTGATGCTGAGGCAGCTGGTTTGTGGACTACATTTTAAGAACCATTGCTGTAGAGTGTAGATTCTTATATCTCTTTAGGTTTGATGACTCTGTATGAGGACTCAAAATTTGCATTTGATATTTACTTAGAATTTAATGTTATATGAATCTTTAAAATAATAATTGATTTAAAACAAGTAATAGTTTCATATGTTCATGCAATATGAAAGGCTCGTACCTTTACATAAAGAGCATTTTCTAAAATATGCTATTTAACACTAACAGACGATGCTTTATGTGAAAGCAAAGAAAGCAAAAAATAAACAACAGCAGCAGTAACAACAACAAAAACAGAGGTTTATATGATCAAATTAAATTCAGAAAATATTGCATGTGATATGCTCACTTTGGAAACTCACAAGGCAATTTAACATTTAAACAATATCAGAAACATTGCAGTCAAGAAACCCATTTAACTTTGTTTAACCCGGAGTTTTCTAAACATATTAAACTACAATATCCTTCCTTAATTTAATATCTAAAAGAAAATCCTGCAGTACTAATTTTCTATAGAACTCATTTGGGAAATGTTAATTTAAGAAATGCTCTTTATTTAACCATCAAGAAAAGCATGTACCTTTGCAGATAACTATTTCTACCACAGATGACATAATGTACACCTGTTTCTGAAATGCGTGTGGATTTTTTTAATCAAAGGCAATATATTTTAATCTCTCTAACAATAAAGCAAATGTCAAATATACCTGGATTAAATGAAAATGAATAATTAATGAAAATTTGACATCATGAATGAGAAGTAGATCTCTTCATAGACAACATTTCTCTTCCCTTGGAGATTAGACTCATTGTTTCTAAAGTGTAAGGCATTTTACAATCAAAATAAATCACCAAAAATTGCATGGAAATGTGGAGAGCCTTTATTATCTGAGTTAAGAAGTTCCTGATAAGTCTCTAGGCTAGGGTGATGTCACTCATTCATCTGTTTTCTGGGCCAGCGGTGCCCCTCAGACAGGTAATAGTAATGCTTCCCTGAAGGTAAGAAAGAAAGATCAACAGGGACCTTGGCTCATCCTATCAAAGTTATTTCCTAATAGAAGCCAGGAAATTCATTATGGTGTTAGAATACACTTTAGACATACTGTACTCATTATTGTTTCTTTTTCAAAATTACATAAGAATTAAAATGAGGTCAGACATGAGCTGAGATTTTGTACTAGTTAAGAAAGCTATATTAGTGAAAATAATGAAAGAACTCTATAATAACACATCCCTGGAATCAAAATATCCAAATTCTTGAGTTTGGCTGTATCCCCTTAATGGAGGAAATACAACTGAGGATAACTGATGTAAGGATTAACTTGGTATACTACCAAGTTAATATTAGTAGACTAATATTAGTCTACTCTAACTTCCATAACAAAGTACCATAATCTTAAACAATAGAAATATATTTTCTTTACAGTTTGGAGGCTGTGAAGCTCAAGATCAAGCTTCCAGGAGGCTTTAGTATCTGATGAGGGCTTTCTTCCAGGTTTTCAGACAGCTCCCTTGTCTCTGTGTCCTTATAAGGTACAGAGAGAGTGCAAGCTCTTTGGTGTCTCCACTTATGAGGACATTAATCCTATCAAATCAATTCTTCACTGTTATGACCTCATTTAACTGTAATTGCCTCCTTCTACACCCTATTTTCAAATACAGTCACATTGGAAGTGAGGATGTCTTCAACACATGAATTTTAGGGAGACACAATTCTGTCCGTAGCAGGCAGGAATGCATAAAATACAAACAAACAAATAGCTGCAAGATATCTGAGAGAGTCAGCCCACTGATTTTAAGAAGAAAAAGTACATAATAGAAGTAGCCAGTTATTCTAACAAATGAATGCTTGAAAGAAAGATTAGCTGGAATTATGAGTAGGTCTGAACTCCAAATGTGTTTATAAGGAAAGACTATGTGGTTTCCTTTTCTGCTTTATACACATGGAGTATTAAAATATTTCTTAGTAAGGTCATAGAAGAGTTTCATTAACTAAGTTTTATACACAATTTTAATGTTTTCAAGTAGATCTATTGCTTAGAAAAAACATTTCCTGGCCAGGCACAGTGGCTCATGCCTGTAATCCCAGCACTTTGGGAGGCCGAGGCAGGCAGATCACAAGGTCAA